CTGTTTCATTTTCAAGCTCATGAAGAACATTTTGAAGATGTTGAAGCAGAACCACTTTAGAATTTTGATTAGCACCGTGCTCCTCGATCATCAAGCTTTCCACCTTATCCATGAGGATTGATCCAACATCTTCTGCTACGTTTAGATCGGGAGAATTTCCTGGCCATTGTGTCCGGTCAAAGAAATCAACTCCGGAATCTTTGAGTAATGCTTGAGTGGCGTTTACTTTGTGACACGAAGCATTGTCATGAAGATAAACTACCTCTGACGGATCTAATACATTTTTGGGATCAGAAAGAAATGGAATGACATTTTCTGTCAGAATAGATCGACGATAATACGCTCCATCCCATGATGCACCATCATCCTTGATTACCCACATCAATTTGACAGCAGTGAAACAGATGTAAATTCCAATGCAATTAGGCCACGCAGAAAGCTCTTGATAACGTTCATCGTCTTGGATATCTTCCAGAGAAAACGACCATACTCTATCATTTTGATAATTGGGTCGACGAACAGCCCAAACGAAGAACTCATCACTTGGAGCAAGGTGCATAAAGTCATATTCATCCCACTGTTGCAAATAATCGCAAAACCATAACCGATCTTCAATGTTCATCGCCGACTTCATTGGCTTTGAAATCACATGAAAAGCCTTTAGCCCTTGTTTAACACGGTATCGTTGTATTGTTGATGGACTAACGACCTCTCCGCACTTCTGAAAGATCTCTTTCGCAACTCGTCTGCAGCTTCGTCGCCTTTTTCCACTGTTTTCCATCACAATCTTTTTACTTTCTTCAGATAACTTTCCTGGTCTTCCACTACCAAATTCTGTAAAACAATGTTCGTATCCCTTTTTCCAGTTGGCAGTGACCCATCTTTCACTGCGATGCAACTTTTGAGCGATCCACTTTCGGTTGATGAACGTTGCACCTTCTTCCATCACTTCGCGATAGGCGTTCGCTCGAATTCGGTCTATCACACGTTGTTCTTCGTTGTCTCCGATAACTCCAGCCATGTTACTCAAAACAATGATTATTTGAAGTTATGAATGAAAATGAAAAAGGCATGATACACATTAAGATAAAGGATGTAAGAAAAAGATAATTCCCACTATATATGACACATGTAACAAAACACAAAATACGTTTACAAGAAGAAGAAAAAGAATAATAGAAAGAAAGATAATACGGAATGAGAAAAATGTGCGGAATTTTGACGATTGAGTATTTGTACGGATTTACTTCCATATTCGCAATTTCAAACGGTAGCCTTATCTATCGAAATGATGACTGTACCCCTGGATCCAGTTTTTCACGGGCTTTAATCTGGTATAAAATTCATTAGGTACTCAACTCGAAATCATAGTGTTACCCCCCTAGCAAAAGGTTATGCACAACCCGATAGATGTAAACTCTTTGATACATCCAACGATTCCTTGTGCTGGTATTTATTTTACCAGTAAATAATGGATATGTTTGCATATATCATCATCCATCTAAACCTTTATTTTAATTTCTAATACACTAGAAATTAGAAAACTTTCATAATACAAGATTCTAGAAGAATTTGAATTTATCCTATAGTAAGATAAGAATTTCGATGCTCACTAGTGCAACTTACTGGTGTCTCTTATTTTAATTTTTTCCAAGTAGAAAAAGGAATTTAATTTTAACTGTTAGAGATTTTTATTTTACTGAATTTTAATTTCTATTGCCACATTAGTTTTATTGTTCTCTTAGGTGTTAACGCTTTGATAATTTGAAATTCACATTTTAATAGAAATAACATAGTGAAAAAGAAGAAAAAAGATGAAATCTATTTTATCACACGCTATAGTGCTTTTTAGTTTGATCATTAAAAAGAAAAAGAGAAAAATGAAACATAATGCAATTTTATGTTCACAATCCTTTGCTTTACAGTTTTTATTATAATATTTTTATTTCATCTGTTGCGCTTTCTTCACAGCATTCTTCGAAAAATGAAGATAGTGTAACAGAACGCACTTCAGCACTAGGTACTCAAGAAGGAAAGAAGTATTCATGAAACAACTCACTCTCATTTCTTTAATAAGTTTCAAAGACATTTTTGACCGGTTTCGAACATGATTTTCTGCCATTTTAGTGGTAACTGCAGAGAGTATATACTATAAAAGAAAATACATAAGCAAGGAAAAATAATGATATTATATGCCTTTCATATTTGAAAAGGGATCTAAATGAACAAGAATATTTAAGAATACTACATGAAAATGTATTTATTTAAAAGTTATTTTTTCAGCTTTATATTTCTGATACAAAGAATTTTATCCTTTTTGTATATGCTGGTTTATTCACATTTTGCATGTTTTAAGTTTTCAATCTGAACAACTTTTCAAATACAAATCTACCACGATATTTAGGCAACGTTCATAATCTACAACAACTTTTATATTCATCACAATTACAAGCCAGAAGAAAGCGGCATTAATCTCAATAAAACACAAAAAGCAATTAAACAAAACTGCCATAGAAGCTATAGCTTGAGATAGACGTGCATTCTCAATGATTTAGGGAAGAGAGAGATAACAAATTCTTAAATTTGGCAGTACCAGGGTAAAGAAAATCGACACTTATGTTTTGGGGTGGCGGGAAATGGAGAAAAAAAACATCGAAAGAAAACAATGTCAAAAAAAAACAGAAAAGAAAATGTTGAAGAGGATAATGTCGATATAAAAAAAGAAAAGGAAAAATATCGAATACTTGTAAAGATGTCAGCAACACGATTCAGCTGTTCTTTTTTTATTGGTCGCTCTCAGAGCAACACATTTTATTCGGCATTATATAAAGCAAATTTTCTAACATTAAATACATATATATCGTCAAAATGGACTTAAACTCAGCTTCTGACGGAAGTTCAATTAAAACTCAACAATTTGAGATATCGTTCATCACATCCAACAAAGGTATTCGATTAATAATACATAATAACTATTTATTCAGGTGTAATAAAACAACAGCACCAGAAATATATTGGTTCTCTATTGAACAAGATTATGGGGTATACATACACACAAGTATTACAGATGACTTGATATATATTAATGGTGATCACAGTTATTCTGCAAACCTGGACCACGTAGAAGTAAAGCTTTTACGAGACAAGGGCATGGGCGTGGGTGTGGATGTGGATGTCGGTGTGGGTGTGAATGCGAGGGCGGGAATGGGTGTGAGAGTGGATGTGGATGAGAAGTACCCCACGTCCACCCACACCATGATACTCTTCGCCTTTGAGACGAAATGCACGATGACCATCCACCGATTGATTAGGAGAATAAGTCAAGAAATCGAACAATTTTTGATAATGGTTACGATATCTTGTCTCAAGATAATCAATATATTCCTTACAGAGTTCTTCGTTGATCACCCATTTGTAACTTTTTTAGTTGATATTTTTTATGATTGAAAACGAAAGATGAATAATGAGACTTGCAAGTTGATTTTATAGTGTCTTGTTCATCTGTGATTTTTTCCTTGTATGTACACAAGATGAGTTGCGCTTTATTATTTTTTCTGAGGGTGGGTGTGGGTGTGGATGCGGGGTACTTCTCATCCACATCCACACCCACCCACGCCCTAATGTAAAATTCATGTCAGATTAAGTTTTCAACACTACCAAATCCATTTCACTCAATTGATTCCCCATATTTGTAAAATCACATTTGAGATTTAATTCTTTTTTCTTTGCTTTCTCTTCCTAGATCCATTATACGGACGGGTAGCATAAGATGATAGTAATATGCAAAAGTGAAAAAAAATAACAAAAAAAAGCAATAAAACCGTACAAGTACTGATCAGTCAATCTTTTCCAAAGTGTTGGCTTCGATTGAAGGAGTTTCAGTTAGAGCTTATGACAATTTATATTTTCTAAACAATTCCATTAAGGAAGTGTAGACTACTAATAAAATACCACCACCTGACCCAAGATGAAGAATCTTTGGCACGAAACCCTTATAAAGAGCTCAAAATCCTTCTTCTCTAGCCACGATAAACAATGAGGGAATTGACCAATTGTACTTAGACGGTGAAGTAGTCCGAGAAGAATTCTGAATTCGGCTTTTGACAACATCAAATGGAGTGTTTAATGTAGTCCCTACACAACCCCCAATAGTTCCAGCCATGCAGCTATTGAGCAACTCAGGTTTTTCCGGCAGTTGAGCTTTAACTTGAAAGATGACACCGAAATAACCCGCATTCCAAGTCATATTTCTCATCATTGTAGCTTCCAAATCACTGTACAGAGCCAAGACATCTTCCTGTTTAAGAATCTTCTTTAGACAGTCCATGGTTCCTACGTATATACAAAGATGCAATACAGACTTCAAAATTCTAGACTTTGGGTTTTTCGATAACTCAAGAATTAGAATTTATGAATGAATAAACTATGAAAACTAGAAACCTAACCTTTGATTCATTCATACCATCATCTCTGTTAACATGAGACTCCAGACTTGATAGATACGAAACGACGTCTTTTACAAAAAAACTTAAAGAACACCGAGTTTTGAAATTATAACATACTAAATTTTGTCGTGTTTCTTAAAAGTTGTTTTAAAAAGTAAAACAGAGATTACTTGGAGCCAAAACTTACACTTCAGCAGGACAGATCTAACTTTTAATGGCATTGCATATACTTGGGGTGTGGGTGTGGGTGTCGATATAAATGAAAGATCTACATCCTCACTCACACCCACACTCACACCACCCACACCCACACCCACACCCTAAATTTTTGATCAGCTACTTTATTGTGGAATCAATAATCTTATTTAAAAATCTTATACTTCAACTTTACTGCCTCGAATAACACGGACATATCTATCTCTCTAGTTACGTACAACTAAACTACGCAATAGTTTTTAGTTCAAGTTCAAGAAAAAAAGAATAACAGTAGACATGAAAGAAAACGAACAACACTTAACATTTGTCTTATGGCACATCATACGTGCTATAAGTTTCTTAAGTTAAATGATTCTTTATGATTTCGGTTATCCACCATATACAAGAACTTGCCGTATGACAGGTTCGTTTATCATTATTTGAAGTAAGTATAAAATCAATGGAAGTAGCAGCCGTTGCACAAAGAATATTGTACACTTCAGTTAATAGAACAAGTGCTTCGATATCGGCTTCGTGAGGCTGTGCACTTAGTGGATCAATGAGAAAGATAAGAATGCCAAGCTTGCCCGTTGCAATTTTTGCCCCCAAGAGACCATTGTTAAAATTTGTTTCCAATACATTGAATTCTTTCTCAATCAACGATCCTGTCGTACCTGTACGATAGAGTTTGTGTTGAGCAAGTAAATGGCGATGTTTTCTAAGGCACTTGATGAGTTCTGACTTCTTTTCATTATGAGCAGCAAATCCAATTCGTTCGTGTACACCCATAATTCTGACACCAGCCATGTTCTGAAAATTTTCACATTGTTAGAAACTTACTTTTTTTTTGTATCAATATAACCAGGAACGTACCTTTTCTATGTTTGTTGATTCATTCCTATTTGCCCTCTGTTCGGTGCCTTGATAGTATTCGGCAAGATATCGAGTTTTTGCTCGCTTTGTAATAAGACTAATCAACAGTGAATTTGATTTGCTAGTGCAAAGTAAATCTGAATCTAAACAGATGTTTGAATGAAATATAAGAGAAAAGCTTGAGAGACTTACTCTTTGAATAGAAATAGTCAGAAACAAAAGAAAAAAGTTGTATTTCTTGATAAATATAATTATCATTGTTCGTTTGTATGTTGCTTATGTTTCATAGAACATATTCGAGACACTTCGAACAAAGAACAAGTTCAAGAAGGAAATATCATTACAGACGATTCTACCATCTATATCAAATAAGAGTCGAACCAATTGTTGCAGCGATCGGTTTAGTTTTAAGACACCTGATACATGCATTGTCTGAACTTCTAGAGAATCGTTCACCAGCAATATTTGAAAGTTTCCGCTTAGAAAGATCTTGGGAAGAAGAGTCAACAATTACATTAGGGCGCAAATTCACGCGACACTAGTTTCTGTAAGATTTACGGATACTAAGAGCCAATCATAAACTCATTTGCCGCTCTCACTTCTCGTACCTACTACTATAGATCTAGCGGAATCATTGTTTTACAGCGACTAGATATTGTTTCAAAACTGTTCTATTTTTTTAGTTCCTTTGAACCTCGATTTCTTCAAGCAAAAATAGTCAAAGTACAGCACGTACCGTAAAAAAAAGCTTATTTTCATTGGAAGTAACACCTATTCATCGTCAATACACAGATCATTCTGCACGTTCTTTTCGAGAAAGATAAAAAACCAAGACGAAACATTAAGCTCTACATAAATCATTATTTTTACTTCTCAAATAAAGTAGGTTAAAACTTCAACATGCTTAGTTGATCTCGTATTATTATCAGTCAATAGTCGTATCAACGAGCGTAATATTGAAAGTAAAAAAGAAATAGTTATGATGACGTCAGTGATAAGTGATTCCATAAAAGGATATAGCTAAAAGAAATGAAGATTTTATATTAAAAAAAATCTATTATGTTTCACGAAAATTTAGTCAATTAAAATATCGTAATAAATGAAAATGTTATATTTCTTGATATTATGAAATATTGTTATTACACAATAATCTGATTCATTATTATTGTATAAAAGAAAGCAAAAAGAGGTCTTTTTGTTGTTTACCTTTATAAATATTAAACGAACCAAATAATATGAAGGATGCAGTAGTGATTCTAGGAGGTGCTTTCAATCCCGTACATACACAACATATAGCTTTGCTTTGTCTTGCTAAACAAGAACTTGAAATTAACAGCGAATGGAATATTATAGGTGGCTATTTAGCTGTTTCAGCTGATTATTATGTTTGTCATAAATTAAGTTCACGAAATGAGCGTACAATTAAATTAAAACATCGTTTAGCACTTGTTTATGAAGCAATTAAAGATATACCATGGTTAATAAATAGTCCATTTCAAGAAGAAATGTTAAAGCGACATGTTGGTTCTGCATTTGTACTTGGTCAACATTTGAAACGTCTATTAAAAAATGATAATATACAAATATTAATTCTTGTTGGTGGTGATCGAATGATAAAAAATGGTATTCCAAAATAGCGAAAATCATCAAACAAAACACCTGCTATTCATATTGGTATTGAACGAATAATGAATGATAATAATAAAATAAATTTACTTGATTATTGGTAAAAAGATCTTAAAAGTAATCTTATTCCCAATCCTGAAAAATTTATTCTATTAAAACAATCTACTCAACCTGTTAGTTCATCACTTGTTCGTATTTATCTTAATCAATGGTTTAATGCAAAGGATGATTCAAAAAACCAAATCGAAATTGAGAACGATTTAATAAACATAAATTCTTTTCTTCATCCATCTTTTATGAATTATATAAAAGAATACCAAGATGATTTATACTTTGATATATAAATTTTCATTCTCGAACATATATATATATAATAAAGGAAAAAACGATTAAGATTTTTATTCAATGTTTGTGTAGCTATATCACTCCTAAAATAAAATAATCAATTAAAAATAATAAATAATCCATGAAACATACATCATATCAATAACTCCATCATGAAAAGATGTTAATACTTGATCATCCATTGACAAAAGAACAAGAGGACGATGAAGAAAACAAATTAAATATGTATATTAATTAGAAAAATCATTTTAATAAATTTACTTTGATTTCATCTGGAATATGAGATTTAAGAAAATCATGAATTAATATATATGAATAGTTACTTTCACGAAATACAGGTGTTACTTTAAGATTTAAATCAGACATTTCAGAAAAATCAATCCTATTAATCAATAAAAACTAAGATGTTTATTTCTTTCTGTATTTTACCATATACGATCGCTTGGTGGTAGTGGTTGTGGTGGAATGTTAATCTTCAAAAAAAGAATAAATTAGAATCTATTTCAAAACTACTTTACTGCCATAATGCCATTAAAATCCATTAATTCAATATTTGCACCTACATCAGCATTCGATAATTTTTCTATAACACACCAGCAAAAGGTTTTAAAGCAGTAAATCGTTGAAAATGTTGATTTCCAGCTACTTTTGTTAATAATGTACCTATTTTCGCGCAGCCGCACTAAAGAAATATATACATATAACAGATGGTTCAGATAAAAGTAACCACTTTTCAGTCTATTCAAAATATAGAATTTATTTCTCAACAAAACTGTCCACTCGATTTTTCTTCACTGAAATTACAATGTTTTTATGTAATATCTGTTGATCAAATTTGATATCCATGTTCTTATCGGTACCCTTCATAAGAAAAAGATCTAGAACTAACATTTACTGAGGGTGTGGCGGGTGTGGGTCTGTGTAGGGTGTTAGTTAGAGAAACCAATGCACCCACACCCATACCTTCGTTATTATTATTTCAATTTTTTTCATCAATTGTATACACAGACACGAAGAGGGCATTTATTTCTCAACATTAAGTGTTCGTTCATTTCAGTTAACATTCGATCAGTTAAAGAGTAAATCATTCTATTGCTGATCAAATTATTATGGGAAAATATCTGCAGAAAATGTCGTCAACTATACAGTTTTGTTATCTGATATCAATAAATTATTTGGAGCACTATTCAATGATATGATGAACAGCAACAAAAGTTATTATGCTTGCCGAATGTTCTACGATTTTGATTATGAGAAACAAGGAATAAACTTTGTTCAAATCATAATAAAGTACTCAATGATTCAAACATTGTCGAGTGATGAATTTGGTACACAGTTACAGATGACATGATTGATTAAGAATGGTAAGCCACAGTATCAACAGGAGCAATCGAACTGGAAAACAATTTTCAAATATGAATCGTTTGATTACTGTGATTAGAATTATCTTAAGGCACACGATAGGCTATTATAGAAAATAGAAGTTAAATAGCATTAAAATTTAAAAAACTCTATGGTAACATAAACAAGAAAAGCAAACTATCATCACCAACTGCATTTATCCATTGTGATTGTATTTCATCTTATGTAAATGCTCGCGATTCAAGCACAGAATGCCAAACATATGGTAATTCTGATGAGTTTCGAACAACTCATACGCAATCTACAATTAAAAACCCAACAATTCAATGCAACAGTAAAGAACAATTAAGGTGAGTCAACAAAAAATAGAAAACAAATTATAGATGGATTTGGGATGTAAGTGGTTCTGATACGACTAGCTGTTCCTGTGACAGTAACTGATCGACACCATGCTGCAATACAAACAGCAAATTATATGAAATTACAAATACAACATCATATTTCTTCGATCATTTCTAAAAAAGGTATTTGATCGGCATTCAGTTTGCAACTGAAGAGAAATATGTGAATGATAATTTCTTTTTATTTATAAGTATAACATAACATCAATGCCACATGTGTAGTTTGCTATTTCATCATACATACAGCAATATGAATCTTCTACGTCATTTTGATTTCGAGCACTTCGTTTATCTTTTACATCATAGATATCTTGTAACGAAAAACCACGATGATTATTTTGTCTTATTACAAAGCTGATGAGAATGTAGCTTGAGAATGAGGATGTAAATTTTGATTCGAGTTTTGCAGTATGATTGCCGATCTAATGTGGGTGTGAGTGTAAGTGTTGGTGAGTGTGGAGTGTCCCAACATCTGCAGTCATATTGAAACCTTGAAAAGTAGATTTCGTACCAGGTATATTCAAATACCTTCACATTTTATGATAAATAGAGACTGATAAATTTTTAGTGCCATACTATGATGTTAGAAACAGATGTTCATCAAACAAGGACCACTATTAACTCATTTGGTAGCTTTTATTCCAAAGTGTTTAATTTCTGATCTTTTTCTCTTGTTAAAGAAACATGGTAGGGTACAATGCATAACAAGTTCAATGTCTTGCACAACTCTCAGAGCCAGGATTCTATCAAGATCTCTATTTTGATATACACTTTCAAACGAAAAAAACATGAATATATAGAATGAGAGCGAACAACATATTGAAAGTGGAGCAACGCAAATAGTAGAAACTTTTAAAGAAATAATTCGCTTTTTCTGAAGGCAACATTTTTATCAAGTAGATGATGATATACATGGTCAAAAACTATGGCAGAAGAGAAGTTTCCGAATAGAATGTCATGTCAATCATAAAAGATTCAGGATTTAGGAGTATCTTCGAATCTGTTTAACTTAGTTTTCCTTTTATTGACGAAAATTAACTTGTTTTAAGTGGATACTGAGTGTGTCACGAACGCAATTTAGAAAATATTTGAGTATCTTTTTAAAGCGACGTTCTATGCTACAATCGTGAGCAGATCTGATCGATATCAAATGTGCAGCACGTGTTTTTATTCAGCATAGATGTCATTTTTTTTGTTTTGCCTATGAGCCCACACATGAAGAACGTTCGCGAAAGCAGCTGATGTCTCGATAAAAGATCGAGATTTTTGAAAAAGCTGGGAGCATAGATCACACTAAACTGGATATTCAAGTACTTTCTATAAGCTTTTTCGTGACTTAACGTTTTATTACATTATTTTCAAGTTGTCGTGGTTTTGAGCAGCACTCTCACAAGAGTGACTTCTCAAAATTTGATGATTTATCCTCTACGAGGAAATCACATCTTTAAATGTTTATTAGTCTTCGAGTATAAAAACAGCACAGGATATCCGAGCAAGCAAATTCTTTCTAAGAA